AGACCTGGCCCTGAGTGTGTGTGTATAGGTCCTAGCAACATGGAGCCTGGCACTGTGTATGCCCAGTGGGTTCCACCCTTGACTGTGGGTGTACAGGACCCAGCTCAGTGGGGCCCAGCTCTGAGTGCAACCTCTAGATGTTACTGGAATGCAAATAACAATGTGCAGTGGGGCAGGAGACTGGCGGGGTGTGAGTGTCTGTGCAGAGGACAGAGGACGAAGAGGGGCAGGTGGGTGGGGGGTTGCAGGGAACAGTGTGGCATGGCCAGAGATGAGTAATGACGTGGAGCCAGGAAGCCCTGTCCAGTATCTCAGGTGTATAACGCAGTAGATATAACAGCTGGGGCAGGACAGCTTAAGTCCATTCGTCCATAAGAAGCTGGCTCCTGTGCTGTGCTCTGCTCAGTGCCTTATGGACAAATCTTTCAAAACACTCGTATCACCAGTGAGGGAGACGTTGCCGTTAGCTTGACTATTGCCCATTAAGTTTTGAGACTCAACATTAACTCCCAATGTCTTTGACTTTCCAGCGGAATACGAGGCAGCGAAAGGTAAGGGCATTTGTACTAGTTTTGATTATGCTTTAAATTGGAAAAGGAACACTCAGAGCTGGGTGCGCAAAGACGTGTTAGTGTAAAATATTAATGTGTTACTGAGACAGGTAACGTACATAAGCCCAGGTGCAGCCCCATTGATTTCTGGGGGGAGGGTTTGCAGGATCAGATGCAATAAAGGAGAAGTCATAACTAGTGATTAGGAGCCCAATCCTGCTGTCCTTACTCAGGCAAAATTCCCACTGAAGTCACTGTAATGCGGGGTTAGAACTGGGCACTTTTGTTACTGAGAATCTCTCCTGTTGATTCATTTATGTTCTTTTTTCCCTTTTCTCTCCTCTCATTCCCATGGACCCTCTGGCAGAACTGGGTAAGCTGTTTCTGGTTGTGTGGTTTGTTTTTCACAGTATGTAACCTGCTGAGTCTGCATTTCATTTGTGTAAATTCTCGTTTCTGATTATTTCAGGACTCACCAGAGCCCAAGGATACGCAGGTAACTAACACTGATACTGCCGCAGTCACTCTCAGTCCCATTCCTCTGGGATACTCGGTCCCTGCTCAGTCCCCTTACAGCTCTCACAATATCTAAGGGGTCGGGCAAAATGTGATTGTCTGTGTGAAACTTTAAGGAGCTTGGTTATTCACACACACACACACACACACACACACACACACACACACACACACACACACACACACACACACACACACACACACAC